ATCATTCACCTTCACTCTTTAAGACTCGGTTCAAATGTCCCCCTCCCTGGGTCATCTTCCGGATTCCTAACCCACCCCACGCAGCGTTCTCCCGTCTGCTTTGTGTTTTCGTGGCTCGTGTCACCCTGTCCTCACTCATTACACTGTGCTTATGCCTCCATCTCCTTCTGGAGACGGTCAGATCCGTCCAAGTAGGTTTGTCTTTCTATCCCTGGTACCTTACATGATGCCTGACACACAGGTGTTTACTAAATATTATTCCGTGGATGATGGAATGAATAATAGAATGCTAGATTCTCAGTCCTTGCTGGGCTTCTTATAGACCTCGTTATTCATTCAGAGGCCCTCTTTCCTCTCCCTCCTGCCCCCTTGTGGCCATTTCCCTTCTCACTGGGCTCTGGAACCAGTTGAAAGTTGAATGGTGCCAAGCATCTGGTCAACAGGAAGACAGCAATCAAACTGGTGAAAACAGCAGCTTGATAAGGCATGCAGGAAAAAACGCTGAACTGGGGCAGGAGGCCTGGGTTCTGGTCCTAGCTCTGTTACTAATTTATTTATCCATTCATTCATGCATTCAACAACATATAGCAACACTATGCATGTATGTACACATACACACACACCACACACCACACCCACATACACCACACACCACACACACCACACACACACACCACACACACACCACACACACCACACACACACCACACACACACACCACACACCACACACCACACCACACACACACCACACATACCACACACCACACACACCACACACACACCACACACACACCACACACACACCACACACACACACCACACACCACACACCACACCACACACACCACACACACACCACACACACACCACACACCACACACACCACACACCACACACACCACACACACACCACACACCACACACCACACACACCACACACACACCACACACACCATACCCTCACACACCACACCACACACCACACACCACACACACCACACACACCACACACACACCACACACCACATACACACCACACACACACCACACACACACCACACACCACACACACCACACACCACACACACCACACCCTCACACACCACACCACACACACCACACACCACACACACATCACACACACACACCACACACCACACACACCACACACACACCACACACACACCACACACACCACACACCACACACACCACACACACCACACACCACACACACCACACCCTCACACACCACACACACCACACCCTCACACACCACACACACACCACACACACACACCACACACACACCACACACACACACACCCCACACACACCACACACCACACACACCAAACACACCACACACACACCACACCACACACACCACACACACACCCCACACACCACACACACACCACACCACACACACCACACACCACACACACCACACACACCACACACCACACACACCACACCCCCCACCCACACACCACACACCACACCCCACACACCACACACACACCACACACACACACCACACACACACCACACACACACACACCCCACACACACCACACACCACACACACCACACACACCACACACACACCACACCACACACACCACACACACACCCCACACACCACACACACACCACACCACACACACCACACACACACCACACACACACCACACACACACACCACACACACACACCACACACACACACCCCACACACACCCCACACACACCACACACCACACACACCAAACACACCACACACACACACCACACCACACACACCACACACACACACACAACACACACACGCAACACATACGACACACACACAAACACACACCACACACACACACACACACACGGCGGAGCACTGTTCTGAGTCCTGCAGATATAGTGGTGAAGAAGAAAGACAGTGTCTCAGCCCTTGTGGGACTTACCTCCTGGAAGAGAGAGAGACAGGAAAAATACAGGAAAATACCTATTGTTCCTGTCTATCTGTGTGACTCTCCTCTGGGAGGTAAGGAAAGAGAATAGGATGACGTGATAGGAAGTGAAGGGTGCCCACTTCAGTCCCGTGGTCAGGAAGAGCCTCTTTGAGTACTGACATTTCAGCTGAGATGTGAGTGATGAAAAGGAACCAGTCATTCAAACATCAAAGAGAAGAGCGTTCCAGGAAGAACCACCAGTGCAGGGGTCCTAAGGTGGGAACGGACTTTGAGTTTTTAAGGGACGGAGAGATCAGTGTGGCTGGAGCAGAGGTGAGGAGGAAGTGAGTGCAGAGGGGTAGGCAGAAACCAGAATATATCTTGCTTTGAGGACTTTGAATTTTATTTCAAGTACAGTGGGAGTCATGGGAGGGTTTTAGGCAAGAGCATGACATGGCCATTTGGGCTTCACTGTCAAGAGTGGAGAATAAAATGGTGATAGATGGATCAGCTGAGGAGCCATTGCGGTCATTTGGGAAACAGTTAGATGGTGGTGTGGGCGAGAGTGATTAGCATACAGATGGAGAGAAGTGGGCAAGTTTGGAATGTGCTTTGGAGATAAAGCAGACAAGACTTGCTGATGGGCTGCAGGTGGAAGATGAGGAACGCCGGGAGTCAAGACTGGCTCTTAGATGTAAAGGTTGAACAATTGGGTGAATGTGCCTGCCAGCTGCTACAAATAGGAAGCCTGGAGGGCGAGTCTGGGAGAAGAACTCAAGTTCTTCATGGATAAGCTATGTTTGAGTTGCCCCATCAGACATCTAAGTGAAAATGTTAAGAAAGCAATTAGATATTCAAGTGAAGTTTGGGGGAAAATCAGGGCTGGAGACAGAGATTGGGAAGTCATCAGAACATACATGGTCTTCAAAGTCATGAGCCTAGATGGGATCACTAAGGGAGAACATTCAGAAATGGAAGAAAAGGATGCCCAGGACGGATCCCTGGTACCCTCTAACCTTTAGAAACTGATTAGAGGAGAAGGAGCCAAGAAAAGGGGCAGGGGGAGCAAGGAGGGCAGAAGCCCAGTTTGAGTGGGTTGGGGAGGGAAAGAGGAGGCAGCAATGCTCTTTACATGTGAAAGAAATTAAAGAAAGAGTTAGTAGTCAAACAGAGACCTGGAGGTTAAGGGAGATACTTAGAGCATGCACAGAGGGACGATCTAGTGGAGGAGAAATCTGCAGGAGAGAGGGAAGGGATCCAGAGTGCAGGCAGAGGTGGGCTTTGGGAGAAATGAAGGTTCTGTGTCTGTAGAAACAAGAGGAAGGCAGAGAGTCGGCACCCAGATGAAGAGCTATGTAGATCAGGAAGAAGCTGAGGCAGGATTTTCTCTTTGTGTGGCTGTGGTCAAGTCATGCCCTTTGCTGAGATGTGTGGGAGAAATAGGTCTGCTCTGATAATGGTGGAGGGGCTTCTCTGAATACATCCACTTGGCTAACAACACCTGCGTTAGCACCTGCTTTATTCATAAGAGACACAGTGTGGTATTGGGGGAACCTGCCCCTAATATTTCAACATAGGTTCTTTCTATTTTCCATAAGTGTCAGCTGGCTGAGAAATAAAGAGAAAGAGTACAAAGAGAGGATTTTTACAGCTGGGTCACTGGGGTTGACATCACATATCAGTAGGACCGTGATGTCCACTTGAGCCTCAAACCAGCAAGTTTTTTATTAAGGGTTTCAAAAGGGGAGGGGGTGTAAAACAGGGAGTAGGCACAAAGATCACATGCTTCAAAAGGCAAAAAGCAGAACTACTAATAAGGGTCTAACAAAGATCACAGGCTTCTGAGGGGACAGGACAAAGGGAAAAAGCAGAACCACTGATAAGGGTCCAACAAAGATCACAAGGCAAAGAGCAAAAGCAGAACTACTGATAAGGGTCTATGTTCAGCAGTGAATGTATTGTCTTGATAAACATCTTAACAGAAAACAGGGTTTGAGAGCAGAGAACCAGTCTGACCACAAATTTACCAGGATGGAGTTTTTCCCCACCCTAATAAGCCTGAGGCTACTGCAGGAGACCAGGGCGTATCTCAGTCCTTATCTCAACCGCATAAGACAGACACTCCCAGAGTGGTCGTTTATAGACCTCCCCCTAGGAATGCATTCCTTTCCCAAGGTATTAATATTAATATTCCTTGCTAGGAAAAGAATTTAGCGATATCTCTCTTACTTGCATGTCCGTCTATAGGCTCTCTGCAAGAAGAAAAATACCGCTGTTTTTGCCCAGCCCCACAGGCAGTCAGATCTTATGGCTCTCTTCCCTCGTTCCCTAAAAATTGCTGTTATTCTGTTCTTTTTCAAGGTGCACTGATTTCATATTTTTCAAACACACATGTTTTACAATCAATTTGTACAGTTAACACAGTTATCACAGTGGTGCTGAGGTGATGTATATCCTCACCTTACAAAGATAACAGGATTAAGAGATTAAAGTAAAGACAGGCATAAGAAATTATACAAGTATTATTTGGGAACTGATAAATGTCCATGAAATCTTCACAATTTATATTCCTCTGCCACAGCTCCAGCCGGTCCCTCCATTCAGGGTCCCTGACTTCCTGCAACAGTGTGGAAGGTGCAACCCAGAGCTCGTTAGAATAATGGCTCCTAACCACAGAAAACAACACTTCAGGTCCTGTGTAGGTGCTTTCTGTACCTTAGCTCTAATTGTCACTACACCCTGAAAGGCAGGTATGACTACTATTCCCATTAGAGGTATGAAAACACAGAGAGGGCCAGGCGCAGTGGCTCATGCCTGTAATCCAAGCACTTTGGGAGGCTGAGGTGGGTGAATCACTTGAGGTCAGGAGTTCCAGACCAGCCTGGCCAACATGGTGAAACTCTGTCTCTACTAAAAATACAAAAATTAGCAGGGGGTGGTGGCGGGTGCCTGTAATCCCAGCTACTCAGGAGCCTGAGGCAGGAGAATCACTTGAACCCAGGAGGCAGAGGTTGCAGTGAGACGAGATGGTGCCACTGCACTCCAGCCTGGGCGACAGAGCGAGACTCCAGCTCAAAAAACAAACAAAGGGGAAGGGGAGATGGCCATGCAACTTTTCTGAAGTGATGGAGTGAGAATTTAAACCCTGCCCCAAACTCATGCTTTTAACCATTACATTCTCTTACCCCAGCAGGGAGAGAAAGGAGTGAAAGGGCTCAGCTAGGAGATGGGCCAGGTGTTGACACCCTCAGGTTAAATACCTGCCAGTCTTCCCAGCAGAGCAAGGGGACACCAACTGCTCACTAATTCCTAACGAGGGTTGAGGGCCGAGATGTCGGTGGCAGGCTCAGAGGCCAGTGTTCCAGACTCCCTGACACTGACCACCTGAAAGCAGAGGAACTGACCCAGAGGAATTGACCCATCTGTTCAGTCCACAATCCAACAGCGCCGCCCATCACATTTGGGAGTTGGACATCTCAACCGGTCACCAGGGCCCTGGCCAAATCCTCAGCCAAGTTACTGTGGCCTTAAGCTTTTTCAGATGTTTACCGGGAAATAATCTTTGTGTGGTGTTGCAATCCTGGATAAAGCAAGGTCAGTTCTTCTGAATACACTGAGGGCCAGCAGGGCTTCCTCCACACCTCCCCACATGGAGAAAATTCAGGAGTGTTCACAGCAGAGGCAGCAAGATTTCTGTTTCATTTTTCTTAGTTTCCTGAAATATTAAATTAGTAAAAAACACAAAACCACAGGTGCAGGAATAAGGAGATGGGGTTCCCGTCCCAGGCCTCTCACTTCTTAGCTGGGTGACCTTGGAGAGTTTCCTAAGTTCTCAGCAAGAGGTTTGGCTGTCAGGTGTTGATCATCTGAAATCCATGGATGTCCATGGGACGTTGGGTAGAATGGTTTTTTAGTGTAATTGAATTCCTTTGTGATCTCATGTCTTTTATTTTATGTATTTATGGATATTTTTTCCAAGCTGTCAAAGGGGCACACGGCACAGAAATGTAGAAACGCTGCCAGAAGATCTGTGGGGTCCCAGCATGACTCAACGTTCTGTCATTTCCATTAGTGTCCCTTCTGGGATTGGGGCTTCTTTTAACCAAGTCCATCTGGCTGTGGAGGAGTTAAGGGAAGTTTCTCAATGCTGGGTCAGAGAGGTAATAAACAGGAGGCAATGGAACCGTTCACAAGTGGGCTGGAGCCCAGGCCCCTGGAGGGAGAGACCCAGGCCCTTGGGCCTCACATGCTGCCATCATCTGGGTAGGGGGGCCGTAGCATCCACGCACTCATAAGCAGAGTTGGGGACCACCCCGAGAGCAGGGGCAGGCTGCAGCCTGAGATGTCTTGGAAGCCATGTGCTGCCTCAAGACAGAAAGGAGAGGGAGGGAGGGAAAGGGTGGGAGCAGGAGAGGAACTGTGACCTGGGCCATCCTCCTGTCTCTCGCATCATTTCCACTCCTACAACACGGCTTCTGATCATAAAGTGTGACGTTAGGATAAGTTCTGGTTCAGAGAGGTATCACTGAGCGATCAGCCAGTATCAGATGTGGACACTCATTGTGCCAGGCAGTTTATGTTTCTCTCTTGTAGAAACCATGTAGGTATGCATGATGACAACCATCTTCTCAGGGAGAGAACAGGCTCACAGAGGTCAACAAGTTTGCCAGACATGGCACAGTGAGTGGCCTAACCGAGATTCGCACCTGGATCTGTCTGGCTCCAAAAGGCATGTTTCTTGGTTTGTTAGACACTGACAAAGCTCTTCCGCACGCACTGTCTGTGAATGGGAACTACCGGCCGGCCTCTCAGCCCAGTGTCAGCCATCCCTCTCCCTCTCAGACTCAGCCGTGCCCACAAGTGAAGAAAAGGATTTCTATGTCTTCACTGAAGTCTGTAAGAAAATGACCTTATTTTATGTATGTATGTATGTGTGTATGTATGTACTCATGATCTACTTTGTCAAAAGTGGTATTGTATTGTGTCTAGAGTTTGTGTGTGGCCTGGAAGACTTCTTTTAAGTTTTCTGGAATTAGTATTTACCAGTGGCTCCTCATCAGGGCTATGTAAAGAGCATTATTGGGTTTGAGAATCACAGTGCACTCCATTAAGAATGGCAAGTGGTTTTTCACGGGCTCCATCTCCTGGAGGGGCAAGTAGGTGGGTACAAGGGAGAGGAGGTGACTAAGAACCACAGATTTCACTGCTTTCCAGATTTGGAAGGGGGTTGAGAAATAGAGTGGACCCACTACAGACTCTAGAATAGAGCAATGCACCCCTGGGTCCCATAGACCTTGTCTAGGGTCCGAGAGCCCATTTCCAGAATTATTGGTCGAGTGAGATATTCATAGTAATCTTTGTGCTTTTCCTTTCCACACTTGTTCCACACCTTCCTCAGCCCAGCGGTCCTTCACTCTGGCTACAAATACTTACCATTAAATGAGAAACTTCGGCACATGAACATTTGAAAGAGTCTCCTTGAGCGGACGGTGAGTCATGCATCCAACAATAAGCCCACAAATCATTCAGGGCTCCAGTGAAGGGGTGCCAGGGAAAATCTTTCATAAGGTGCTCATGGAAGCAAGACAAAGAAAATATTTGATTGGTTAATGTGAAAAGTCCCTCATTCGAGGTTAGTTTGTGGTTCCTAATTGGTTAATCTTAAATTTTGTTTTCCTAGGTTAAAATCATTCCCTCTGAGTTGAGTTTCGGTTGGTTACATAGGAACTCAAGGCCCTGGAGCCATCTCAGCCTAGTGGCTTCTCAATTAATTATCTTAACAGTACTGATTCTAGGGCCAGGCATGGTGGCTTACGCCTGTAATGCCAGCATTTTGGGAGGCTGAGGTGGGTGGATCACGAGATCAGGAGTTCAAGACCAGCCTGGCCAATATAGTGAAACACCGTCTCAACTAAAAACACAAAAGTTAGCCGGGCGTGGTGGAGTGCACCTGTAATCCCAGCTACTTGGGAGGCTGAGGCAGGAGAATCTCTTGAACCCAGAAGGTGGAGGTTGCAGTGAGCCGAGATTGCACCAGTGCACTCCAGCCTGGCGACAGAGTGAGACTCTGTCACACACACACAAAAAAATTAGCAAGACATGGTGGCACACGCCTGCAAACCCTGCTACTCAGGAGGCTGGGGCAGGACAATTGCTTGAACCCAGGAGGCAGAGGTTGCAGTGAGTGGAGATCGTGCCATTGCACTCCAGCCTGGGTGAGAGAGCAAGACTCCGTCTCAAAAGAAAAAAAAAGAAAGAAAAAGAAAGAAATAGACTTGTTCACCTTTAAAAACATCTCTTGTGTATTGTCACAGTCTATGCCGCAAGCATTGAAGCCTCACGAGCTGCAGCCGCAGCTACCATTGTGCAGCTATCACCTGGCCCAGCCCGTAGTGTCTGCTCAGCTTGTGAGTCAGGCTGCCTGTTTGTCCCCAAAGAGATGTTCATTTCATCTCAGATGAGCAAAGAAAACATTCTGCTCATGGGAGGATGGTCGTCAGGGTTTTTCTGACACAGCACTAGAGAGAAGATACTTTGATTGCTATCTTCTTGGTGGGGACCAGCAGAGGTAGAAGCATGTCCACGGTTTTCAAGGGTGAGGTTCATAGAAAGACACTGGTGGCAGAGTCTCTTTGGGGGGGCACTCTAATGTTTCCAGGTGGGAGAGTTTGACCTTTAGTGAAAACGGAAAGGGAAGAGGAGGAGGAGGAAAGCAGCTTCCATTAAGAACTTACAGGCTGGGCTCTGTGGCTTACACCTGTAATCCCAGCACTTTGGGAGGCTGAAGTGGGCGGATAACCTGAGTTCGAGAGTTCAAGACGAGCCTTGCCAACATGGTGAAACCCCGTCTCTACTAAAAATACAAAAATTAGCCGGGCGTGGTGGTGGACGCCTGTAATCTCAGCTACCTGGGAGGCTGAGACAGGAGAATCACTCGGACCTGGGAGGCGGAGGTTGCAGTGAGCTGAGACCACGCTATGGCACTCCAGCCTGGGTGACAGAGTGAGACTCTGTTCCCCCCAATCCCCACAAAAAGAACCTACCGTGTGGCCTGAAGCACTGTGCGTTCATTTACTACTCCTTACGCAACCCCGGGAAGAGTGTCGCCCTCTATTATCCTCATCTCTCATTCACTTCCTTCAGTACCCACATACTGTCAGTTTCAACATTCTGTCCATCCAGACTCCAATATTTCTACTTTGTCCCCTCTCTCCTGCCCCAGTGGCAATGCCTGAGCTCAGGCCACCATCTAATTTGACATGAGGAGGTATGAGATCCACTAAGCTCACCATACACGTCACAGCCTTCGAGGGAGCTGCATTAGGACCTGGGTCTTGGATTGAAGGGAATTTCTCTGTCGAGCTATGATTTTGAGACTGACTGAGATTCTCTGGATACTTCTTTCTGTGTCCCCCGACCCCAGGCCTAAACCTTTGACCTGTTCTCAGAAATTAATCTTTTATTAGTTTAACATTTACTGAGTACTTCCTAAGGACCAGGCATTTTGCTAGATACCCAGAAGATGTGGGGTACAAAATAATACCTTGCCCTTGTGGAGTCTGCTATTCTAGCTCCTTTTCCCTCTGAACAGTTGCTCCAGTCTCCTGCCTGTAGCCTCAGTAATGATCGCGCTCTCTCTGGGAGCAGGGGGTTACCAAGTGGTCTTTATACCAGAAGCTGGACATGGCCTTTAACCAGACAAACTCCCCAAGAGTCAGGAATTCTGCATCCTGTCCTGACAGGCCCTGGGCAACTCTGTTCTGCCCATCCAGGGGCAGGAAGTGGTCTCTTGTGTGACCCCCCTCCTTCGGCCACCTCCACTCAAGAGAAGGACAAAGGTTAGGGACTCTTGGCATCTTAGGTGCTCAGTTCAACCATGCAGCATATCTCCCTGGGTACCCTGAGACCACAGAGGGACCCTGGCCTCCAGGACAAAAAGCCTACGGACTTGATGTAGGCCAGGGATTTTTCTGGTTTTGGTGTCATGAGCACTCAAGTAGACACGACTTAGATTCATTTTGCCTTTAATGATCAAATGTCTGCTTCCCTGGTACATTCTGTTTCTTTGAACTGGGCTGCTTTGATACAGTTAGAAATAACAAAAATTTAGGAAATCAAACAAACTCAACTTTTAAAAGCAAAATATGTGACAGAAAGATTTGGCTCAGTGAATGTGCTTCAAATAGGAAAAGTTCAATCATGAATAGAAGGCTTACGATTTTGAGGGCCAAGAGGCTTATCTGAAGAATGGCTCCTGGGCCTTTCACAGCCCTAAGGAGTGAACACACACTTTGACTTTTTTCTCTGTAATTTGGTCTGAGATGGTCAGGTCATAAATTCCAGGCTGAGAATTTCACTTCCTTGAGAGTTACCCTCACTCACTCAGAAGGACCCAGCTGATGAGTGGCCTGAAGATTTAGGTATCAACATCACCCATTCCCCAACCCCCTAGCCCTGTGTCTTCATTCTCCTATCCAAGGACCAGGGCTGTGGAAGTTCCCAGAGGCAGGTGCATCCATGTGAGGGGAAGTGACTAGATTTCCCAGAACCCTCTGCTGTAGGAGGGTTGTTTGGGAAGACGTCCATGGACTGCTTAGGGAATTATTACAAGTTCTGTTGCAGGGATGTGCTTGGGTGGGCTGGCTTCAACTGAGGCTCTGAAGGGACTGGGTTTGAAATAGAGGAGAAGGAAAAGTAAAAAATAAACCCAACCAAAAATACCAAAAAAAAAAAAAACCCAAAAAAAAACCCAAAGCCACTGAAACAATGGTACAAAGGAAGAAGCCCTGTCCCCGTGAGCAGATGCAGATGGAGTGGTGGGGTCAGCACAGCCCAGGCCACTGTCCCAGGCCTCCCAAAGCATTTGTGATAGGCTGGGAGGAAAAACAGCTCTGGTCCAGGGACAGTGTTTAGGGATTAGGGAGAGGCCCAGGGGATAAATGACCACACGAGGACACCCTCAGAACAGAGGGAGGGCCACAGCGTTTAGATTTGGAAATCAGAGGAGCAGAGGGTGCTTTCCACTTCTACCAGCGGAACCCTGCCATGTAGACTGGCAAGTAGACTAATTCACATGGCATAGTGAACATTCCAGCTGAAATTATACAGCTCAACTTCTGGCCGGGTGCGGTGGCTCATGCCTGTAATCTCAGCACTTTGGAAGGCTGAGGTGGGCAGATCACGAGGTCGGGAGATCGAGACCATCCTGGTCAACATGGTGAAACTCTGTCTCTACTAAAATACAAATCTTAGCCAGTTGTGGTGGCGTGTGCCTGAAGTCCCAGCTACTCGGGAGGCTGAGGCAGGGGAATCTCTTGAACCCAGGAGTCAGAGGTTGTAGTGAGCCGAGATGGTGCCACTGCACTCCAGCCTGGCAACAGAGTATATGCAGCTCATCTTCTAACTATATCAACCAACCAGACAACTGCCAGATCTCCGGGTCTCACTGGGATCCATGGACACAAGCTGTAGGTTTCACTATCAGGAGGCTGCCTGAGATCTGTGTCTACTTCTAACATATATGATCTCACTTGCACTTGCACACAGAGAGTTGAATCGACTACATGCTCTTTAAGGCCCTTTACGTTTCTGAGCATCTGTGATTTAATAGAGATCCAGAGCTAAACACTATTAGGGACAAACCGTGCTGTGAATGATGGGTGGACAGCAGGGGAAGGAAGAACTCACAGACTGAACCCACCCTCTACGCTGCGAGATCCTACCCAGATCCCCTGAGACTCTGGGGGATGGGGCAGTTTGCAGGCTTCTCTTGATGTTATAACCAACTAAGATGTATCCTATTTTGTCTTATTTCACTTTTGGTATCTTGATAGGTCATTGTTATTTACACCAAGAGACTGTATCTGTGAGAATCTTATAACAGTTCAGTTAAGGAATCCTCTTCAAGTCAAGGCTTATGGAAAGAGTGCAGGTCTGTGAGCCAAAACATGAGGGTTCTAGGCCCAGCTTAGTCGTCAACTTGGCTCTCGCCTTGGCAATGCATCCGCTTTGCCAGGATCCAAGCTTTATCTCTTTCTCGCTACTTTCACATCCTGTGACTGTGTTGCAATACCTAGAACAGGAGGAAGACAGGGCCCAGCAAGGTGGAGGAAAAGATGGAGTCAGCACGGAAAGTCAGGGGAGGGTTGTATTAGCCTGGGAACCATTCAAACCCTTGGGCCCCTAATGACTCTGCTTGTATCTTTAAATGTTTGACGTCCATTGGCTGCTTTCCATCTTCCAAACCATCAGCTCTTACCAGGGCCTGTGGGCCTCCTGGAAACACCAAGACTCACCGGGTCCCCATTTCTTTTCTGCATATGCATTCACCACGGGGAAGCAGAGCCAGAGAGACGGAGTGTGGCGTGAGGAAGGAGGCCACGTGCAGAGTGCAGCTGGGGAAGATGCTTCTATTTTGAAACTACTGCAGGCCCCCTAGCCTCAGTACCGGGGGAAGACCACCCTCCTGGGTAAATACCATCTGCTATTTTCCTTAGATGAAACTGTTTATCTGAAAAAGGAAATACAAAACACAGATTCTATTTTTCTGCACCATGTGTCTCTGATGGTAATAATAATAGTTGTGCAACCTAGAGTGTGGTTATTAAACCTATCTTACGGTCACAAAGGAGCTGTAAGGAAGCCAAGAGGCACAGAAGCCCTGAGGGAGGATTTGGAGGTTTTGCAAATTCCAAACAATTTTGCAGATGAACTGGAGTAACCCACCACAGAGCAGAAGAGACAGACTCAAACTCCAAGTGCATCTTGTCTTTGTGGAGTTTGTCTTGAAACCAGAAGAATTTCCTCCATGTGTTATTCTCAGTCTTATCCACACAAGGTGGTTCAGCACTCAATCTAGAGGACATTTGTTGAATATAAATGTCTGTCTCCCTAGCACAAAATAACTGGGACATTATTCCATGGAACATTCCATGAGTCCATAGAATAGTTTATTCCATGATCCAAATGGTCTGATTGATTCTTCCACCAAATTCCATAACTAATTACTCTGTGTGTGTGGGGGGGGGGTGGGGGTGGTACTGATCAGCCCAGAGCTGAAGCCCTTGAGCTCCGGGAGAAAAGCACCCTTTTCTGAAAGCTTCTCATGGTGGGATCAGAGCCAGCCTTGGGACTTTAGCGAGGGGTCTGAGACCAATATGAAGAGGGAAGAAAGAAGGGTCTGGACGATTTTGAACCATTTTTGTGGGAAAACAAGATGACTCTCATGAAGTACCAACCAGACCTGGAACCCAGGCGCACACACAGTGTTCCTATCATTCTTCCCTCAGAAGGAGGCTGGTCCTCTCTCCTCCATATGCTTCTAGGGCAGTGAGGGCCCATTCCGGACTCTCCCTCTGTCTCCACCCCTCACGTTGTCTCCGACATGGCCCTTGAGGCTCATTTCACCCATTTTTGCCTGGGTGAAAATAATGGAGGAGGGCAGTGATCCTGCCCCACACCTGACCCCCACCCATCAGCCCTTGCAGTACTGAACAAGCTGAACTTGGGAATGAATAAGAAAGAGTTCTGAGAAAAGAGGAGAAGCAGAGGAAGACCAGAGTTGTCACTTGGGGACAAAAGTGACCTTACCTCTTGTTGACTCCACATTCCCTTCCTTTGGGAAGCTTTTCTTTCTCTATTTTATAGCAATCTGCCCAGTCCATATGGTTGGATGAGACTGGCTGGCTTTATCCTGTACCACCACTGCAGGGGCAGGCACATGACCCAGCCCGGACACTTAGAGCAATCCCTCAGGCAGGACCCTGCATCCAGAGCGGTCAATCTTCCCTCAGATGTTTGCTGAATCTTTCAGGGAATACTCTCCTTTTCTTCCTTAGGTCACTAGCATGAAGGACCATGTCCATCCAGAACTTCCAAGGACCACCTTAGAATCACATTTCAGGTAAGAGCCTTTTTGCAAATAAAGCAAAACAGAGGAACCGTGGATCTATCACTGAACCCTTGGATCCATCTGTGCCTCAGGCAGAACCACCAGTTACTAACTAGTACAGGTGCATAGAAAGGAGGAGATCAGGCTGAGCATGGTGGCTCATGCCTGTAATTCCAACACTTTGGGAGGCTGAGGTGGGCAGATCACCTGAGGTCAGGAGTTCGAGACCAGCCTGGCCAACATGGTGAAACCCTGTCTCTATTAAAAACACAAAATTAGCCAGGCATGGTGGTGCATGCCTGTAATGCCAGCTACTCAGGAGGCTGAGGCAGGAGAATCGCTTGAACCCAGGAGGCGGAAGTTGCAGTGAGCTGAGATCCTGCCATTGCACTCTAGCCTGGGTGACAGAGTGAGACTCAGTATCAAAAAACAAATAAACAAACAAACAAAAAACCTAGAAAGGAGATCAGAGGTGAATGTCCTTATCTTGTGGTGATGCTGACCAAAACTCAAAAGGACATGATGGAGAACCAGGAAAGCCAGTGCTGTCATTCATTCCAGGTCTGAAGGCCCAAAAACCAGGCGCTCTGATGTTGAAGGGCAGGGGAAGATGGGCGTCTCAGCTCAAGAGGAGAGACAGAATTCGTCCTTCCTCCACCCTTTTGCTCCTTTGGGCCCTCCATGGATTGGGTGATGCCTATCTACATTGGTGAGGGTGATTTTCTTTACTCAATCAGATGATTCAAATGCAAATCTTTTCCAGAAACACCCTCACAGACACACCCAGAAATAAACTCTGCCAGCAATCTGGGCATTTCCTAGCCCAAGTGTTACTGGAAAGAGGTCCCGATTCAGATCCCAAGAAAGGGCTCTTGGATCTCGTGCAAGAAAGAATTCGAGGTGAGTCCATAGAGTAAAGTAAAAAGCAAGCTTACTAAGAAAGTAAAGGAATAAAGAATGGCTACCCCATAGACAGAGTGGCCCCAAGGGCTGCTGGTTGGCTATTTTTATGATTATTTCTTGATTATATGCTAAACAAGCGGTGGATTATTCACAAGTTTTCTGGGAAAGAGGTGGGCAATTCCCAGAACTGAGGGTCCCTCCCCTTTTTAGACCATCTAGGGTAACTTCCTGACATTGCCATGGCATTTGTAAACTGTCATGGTACTTGTGGGAGTGTCTTTTAGCATGCTAATGATTGTAATTAGCATATAATGAGCAGTGAGGATGACCAGAGGTCATTTTTGTAGCCATCTTGGTTTCAGCTGGCTTCTTTACCACAACCTGTTTTATCAGCAAGGTCTTTGTGACCTGTCTCTGTGCTGACCTCCTATCTCATCCTGTGACTTAGAATGTCTAACCTCCTGGGAATACAGCCTAGTAGGTCTCAGCCTTGTTTTACCCAGCCCCTATTCTAGATGGAGTCGTTCTGGTTTAAACACCTCTGATATAGGTTGACACATAAAATTAACTATCGTAGTGGTTATGGAAGATTGAGATCATTCTAGACTTTGGTGAACTAAATTTTATAAGTTTTCTCCAGCCCTAATTATTGGCAGAGGTGTAAAAAAGACCACTAATAAGGAGGGAAAATAATTAAGGAAAAGAAATGTTAGTTTTGTGAGATTGTACCCTTTTGGTTTGGCCTTGAATTTAGTGCTTCTTAAAAGAGTGTGGGAGAAAAGGAAAGACCCTTATCTGTATTGTGAAAGGAAAATAAATCTTGGGACCCCAAAATCATTAAGCTAAAGGGAAAAGTCAAGCTGGGAACTTCTTAAGGCAAACCCGCCTCCCATTCTATTCAAAGTCACCCGTCTGCTCACCGAGATAAATGCATATCTGATTGCCTCCTTTGGAAAGGCTCATCAGAAACTCAACAGTATGCAACCATTTGTCTCTCACCTACCCGTGACCTGGAAGCCCCCTCCCTGCTTGAGTTGTCCTACCTTTCTGAATGGAACTGATGTTCATCTTACATATATTGACTGATGTCTCATGTCTCCCTCAAATGTATAAAACCAAGCTGTGCCCTGACCACCTTGGGTACATGTTGTCAGGACGTCCTGAGGCTGTGTTACGAGCATGTGGCCTGTGGCCTCAACCTTGGCAAAATAAACTTTCTAAATTAACTGAGACCTGTCTCATATATTTGGAGTTCATATTTTGGTAACCATAGAGGGATTCTGAGTGGAGGTGCTTCTGACCTTTGCCAAATCTCCAACTGGTGCTTGGGACCAGCTTGAGCTATCTTTATGGCTCAAACCAACAGGACAATTTGCTGAGGCCTGGAACGACCCTCTCTGGAGAATTCCTGATCTCCCAAAATTCAGTCGTGATCTAACGTTTATTATGTTGTACAACTACTTTGTGTTTTTTTGGAGTTTTACTTGCTTCCAACACAAGGAAGGTAAGTTTTTCCTGCTTCCATGAAGGTGGAAGGCAGGTAACTCCTCTGTGGAGTTTGAACTCGCTTCCCACAGGGAAAACAAATTTTAGATTTCTCCTGCTTCTAGGATGGAGAGCAGTCTTCAGCTTGAGTCCCATCCCTAGGTAAGTAACTGAATTGGGGTTTGTCTTGGCTAAAGTTAAGATTAACAACCAACTGGTCTTAATTTCTCCTTACCATTAGAGCACTCAGTGATCATATAAGTTGTGCCATCATTTGTTTTGCTTAACTGGTTTTGTTGTTGTTGTTTTTTGTTTGTTTCTGTTTTCGTTGTTTTGGTCTTTTCCCCATTGGGTTTGATCAACTCTATCTGACTTGGTCAAATCTAAAGGAAAGTTTCAAATTATGGGGAACAAGCCCTCTGAAGTGGCTAAATTCCCACAAGAAACAAAAAAAGAAAAAGAAAAGGCTGGCGTGGTGTCTCACGCCTGTAATCCCAGCACTTTGGGAGGACGAGGTGGGCGGATCATGAGGTCGGGAGATCGACACCATCCTGGCTAACACGGTGAAACCCCATCTCTACTAAAAATACAAAAAAAATTAGCCAGGCATGGTGGCGGGCGCCTGTAGTCCCAGCTACTCAGGAGGCTGTGTGGGGAGAATGGCATGAACCCAGGAGGCGGAGCTTGCAGTGAGCGGAGATCACATCACTGCACTCCAGCCTGGGGAGAGAACGACACTCTGTCTCAAGAAAAAAAGGGGGGGTGGTGTGATATGGGGAGAAAAACAGCCAGACAAAGGAAAAAAACCAAACCAAAAAAAAAAAAAAAAAACCAGGAAAGATTTTTGACTGCTTAAGGGGCTTTATTTACATAACGAGGCCCCTTTTTGCTAGCCAGGCCAAGCTGAAAGAGCAATGACTGTTGCCCCGCATGGCAGTTCCATAGCTAAACCTTCTTTGTTTTCTATCACAACAACCTAGCTTTGGTTCCTAAGTCAAACCCTTTCCGCTTTGGTACTTGGTACTTCTGAAAGAACAGCATTTTTTTTCCTAGCTTAAATATGGTAATAGATTTTAAAAGATGTTTTAAAAGGAGCTCAGTGGTTAAAAGTCAGCTTAATTAAAAGCCAACATCCAAGATGTGTGTGTGTTTGTGTGTGTGTGTTTGTGTGTGTGCGTTTGTGTGTGTGTGTGTGTGTGTGTGTGTGTATAAAAGGCCTTCGTGGTGTTGTTTTTTCTTTCTCCTAGGACCTTGTCTCTTTTTTTGAGCAAAAATGTTTTTCTTCTCAGTTGACTGAATTCTGTTTTCTTCATTTGCTTCTCCTGTCTCTCCTGTGTCTCCTTTCTCTTGCATACTCTGCCACATGAGGGACCTAAAATAGTTTATAATAGCCTGGGGTTCCTTAAAGAAAATGGAGAAAGCACCAGACTCCCTTCAGGGGAGAAACCTGTTTTTCCTTATGGAACTGCAAGAGTGTAAACAGACAAGTTCATCTCAGCTCTTAAATGGCTTGCCTTTTTACTGCTACCTGATTTACTGACGAAAATAGTTATTGCAACATAGGCTGCTCTTGGGTTTTTAAGGAAGAGTGTAGTTTAGACACTAAGAAATGTCTTTGTTTAAAAAAAATTTTTTTTTTGAGACAAAGCTTAAAGAGAAATAATTTTATATGAGAAAGAATCTTGTACGATAAATTTAGTCCTAGAATAAAATGACTGGTTGTTTAAGAAAGAAGGATGTTCAGAAAAAAACTGAAAGTCCAAGCATGTCATGAATGGTCTGTGTAAGTAACAATAAGAGGATTTATTTAAAACAAAACAAAACTTTTATATGATCGAGTTGTCTATAACTGAAGAGAAATTATAATGGTCTTTATAGAAATTGGGTTTGATGTAAAAAATACACTTACACACTAAATAATTGATTAGAACAATAAAATTTTCTTAAGGGATTGATTTAGTAAATTATAGGAGATTCTAATTTTTTTAAACCTAAAGTTCAACTTTTATTGCATCTTGCTGTTTTCAGTTTCGCACCCCTTTTAAAAGGCATGAAATAGTAATGCTCTCCTTAAAGTCATTTTCGGCTCATATAAGTTTTTTTTCCCCTCAACTTCTGTTTGTTGTGGCCTGATGCTAACAATGTTTTCTTAAAGGTCTAAGGGAAATGTTTTCTTCCAACATAATATTCTGTGCACTGCAGAAGGTCTCTTCTTTTGCCTTTTGGTAACTGGCTTAAGATATTTTGTGTTTTGTCAAAATAATTCCTATGCCATTATTGTGAAGTTTTGGTTTGCTTAGAAAATAACTGAGATTAAAACAATTTTTTAAAAATTAAGGTTACTATATCCATGTATCTTTCCGTATGTGCTTTTAAAGTCCTTGTGATGTTGAGTACAGGGCTTTGAGTCCTGGGTCTAAAAAGGACACCAAGTCCTGCTAAATCTTAAACACTGGCAGTAATTAAAGCCTCAACTTCAGGCTTAGTAAAAGATGCAAATCAAAATAAACTGCATTCCTGAAACACAGGGCCAGAAATTAAAGCTGTTCAACTCCTCAAAGGCCAGGGACTATCACAGAAGGGTGGGTGCATGAGATTGTAAGGGCCGATGTTGAGTGATAAAATAAGCTCAGTTTCTCTATAAATTGATCATTAATGTCAAAGGCACACTAAGGCAAGACCAGCATATGGGCCCCTGTGTCAGATTAACATTTTCTTGGAGCATTAACTGACTCCCAGATAAAAGCTATAAAGGTCATAAAAGGCCTATGGAAGTTATAGCTTATGGTCAAGATTAAAATTTTATAGATTGTTTATGAAATTTTGGAAGTCAAATTTGATTGGATTCATGCTGTTTTTATTAGGGCTTATTGTTTGGAAAATTAAGTCTCCTCTCTCAAAGAATGAAGGTTTTCACCTTTTTTTGAAGTTTTTGAGTTACCACTCTGGTTAAATGAATGACTTATTTTACAATAACCTGTGATCCTATTTTATGATATCAAGTTTTTAAACCTTTGATATTTGACAAACTTTCCAAAATCAAATTATAACCTATGTCTTTTACTGACCTAGTTAATCCTGTCAGATGTTAGGTTCCTTAAACTCCAAAAATGACATAACTGGCTTATTAGGTATGAAAATTATATAGGAAGCATTGTCAAATATGAAATGGTATTTAGTTTTCTTTGAGTTGTATCTGTATAAATATGTTATTGGTATGTGTTCCAAACATTATGGGAAACTCCTATAATTCTGATAAGACTTAGTGTATGTTATCAGTAATAATTATAATTGCTATGTTAAATTATTTTGTGCGACACAGGTAACAAATTTCCTTGTCAATTGTGTCTTTGACTATGGCTGCCCTAAAATTTTTTGTCATCCATGGACAATTCTGTCTTGTTTTTGTCCTCTTTAGAAGGTAGTTTTATAATCAGCTATAAAACTCTAACAGGTGCTCTTGAATGCAGGTTTCTGATAACTTGGAGATTGTGACATCAGAATAGAGGAGAAACTTTCAGGACTCATAAAGAGCTGGAATGTTCATGAACATCAAGCAGAACAGGAATTAAGTGCATGGACTCAACTTATAGAAGACTGAAGCAATGTTTTTGACTTTTTGCTTAAAACATTGCTGTTCTTTTGTTTTGTTTTTCAGAGTAAAGAAAACTTTTCTTTTGAGCTATTAACAGCTTTTAACAATGAAGCATACTTCTATGAACAAAATTTGGAGCATATTTGTTTCTCTCTACCTGATTTCTCTAGAATTTGGAAACTATTTGTAAGTATTCTTATGGCAATATAGTTATTTGCATAAGTGCAATAAGAATCTGTTTTCATTTGTAACAGGACGCAATTGGAGAAATTGGTTATTTTACCCAGGCTTTGACTGGAATGGTGTGCTTTTCTGTAAGGAATCAAACTTGACTTGTGGAACCAATAAAGGCCACTTGGGAAAACTGGCCTCATACCTTGTCTATGCAGTCCCTGTACAGAGTTCCTGACCCATGGTAAGTAAAGACTTACTTTCTGACATGCCCAGGGGCCCCAATTACTAATATCTTGGGACCTCAAGAGAAGAATAATTCATCCAACTCATAGGTATTTGATGGTACAAATCCCATGGCTGGGCTCAGCTTTAAAAAAGTCTTTTCTGAGATTCCTTCTATGAAACAAAGTTCCATCAAAGCCTATTTTTTATTTATGTATTTATTTTTTGTGAGATGGAGTCTTGCTCTGTTACCCAGGCTGGAGTGCAGTGGCACAATCATGGCTCACTGCAACCTCCATCTCTCAGGTTCAAATGATTCTCTTGCCTCAGTCTCCCAAGTAGCTGGGATTACAGGTGTCTGCCACCAGGCCCAGCTAATTTTTGTATTTTTAGTAGAGATGGGGTTTCACCATGTTGGCCAGCTGGTCTCGAACTCCTGACCTCAGGTGATCTACCCACCTCGGCCTCCCAAAGTGCTGGGATTTCAGGCGTGAGTGCCCGGCCCCATCAAAGCCTATTTTAAAAGACTATGCAAAAAATAATTATTCTTGCTGCACTTTATACAAATTATCTGGCCAAGTATAGTAAGGCAAATTGGTCCTACCATGATTTGTCATTAGTAAAAATGGGAAACTAGAGAGAGAAACATAATATTTCAAGATCTATAATACACCTGTTGTTAGATTTTAGTCTTGCCTAATGTTTTTCAGTTTTTATTATTTTCTACAGTTTGGATGGAATTCTAATTTTTCCTGGCTACAGGTCTCCAAAACAATGTTTTCAAATTTTTCTTTTCTTTTCTTTTCCTTTTTTTCCTCCATTTTCCTAATTTGAAATCACTGAAAACTAAGCTGTGCTTTCTTAAAGCCCTGTGAACTGAATCTAGACAACATAAACTTCAGAAGAAAATAACAGCAACCTATTTACATATGTAAGCTACTTTCATACCTGCCTACTGACGTATGGACTTCAGAGTAATGTGGCCTATATCGATTTTCTAGGATCGTTATTTTGTTTGTTGTTTTTCTCCCTTCCTCCCCCTATTTTCTCTTCATAGGATATGGTGATTCTCAGCCTGCTAAAAATGAGCTTTCCTAATAACTCAGGACCCACCTGCCTAGGAATAAATCACCCTAGCCGTGAGAGACCAGACAAAACCTGAGACCAGACACTCGTTTTCTTCTAAAATGCTTTCTCCAAAAGATTTTTTAAAAGAAAAGGGGGGAAATGTGAAAGGAAAAGAAATCTTGGGGCCCGCAAAATCACTAAACTAAAGGGAAAAGTCAAGCTGGGAATGGGTTAGGGCAAAACTGCCTCCCACTCTATGCAAAGTCATCACTGAGGTAAGTGCATATCTAATCACCTCCTTTGGAAAGGCTAATCAGAAACTCAAAAGAATCCAACAGTTTGACTCTCACCTACCTGTGACCTGGAAGCTCCCTCTCTGCTTGAGTTGTCCTGCTTTTCCGGACTGAAACAATGTTCATCTTACATATGTTGATTGATGTCTTATGTCTCCCTAAAATGTATAAAACCAAGCTGTGCCCTGACCACCTTGGGCACCTGTCATCAGAACCTCCTGAGGCTATGCCACAGGCATGCAGCCTCAACCTTGGCAAAATAAACTTTCTAAATTAACTGAGACCAGTCTCAGATATTCAGGGTTCACAGTATCCAAAAATACAATTGCGTCTGAAACCGCCTTTGCAAAAATTATCACAGTGAGAAAATAATGGCAGCGAAAGAGATCTGATCTAGCCAACCTCCCTCTTGCCCTTAGCCTTCAAGCTGCTTTTAATTATTCCTGGGTTTAAGCCAAGCTACATGTGGGAGTCATTTAGTTTATAGTTTAAACGAAGCAAACTCAACCACCCTTGTAATACTAATGAGAGACCACCAGGCTAGGAGGAGGAAAGGAGCCTAAATTCTGCTAAGGTGTAGACATAAACAATTGTGAGGCATTATTCCAGAAGCCACAAGATATGCAACTTCCTCAGTTACCCCTGCTGGTAACGTTACTTTTGTAGAACCTAGGATTGGCCTTCTGAGATATCTTCTCAGAATTTTGCATGTCTGATGACTGATGGCTCCACCGGGACCAGCCAACGGCTTCTGTGTCCCCACCCAGAAGCTACTCAGAGAAAGAGGACAGCTTCGATGCCCTATGATTTCATCTCTGACCCAACCAATGAGCACTCCCCATACCCTAGCCCACTACCTAACAAATTACCTTTGAAAAATCCCTAACCTCCAAGCCTTAGATGAGTTTGATTTGAGTAATAACTCTGCCTCCCACATGGTGTGGCTGGCATCATGTCAATTAACCTCTTTCTTTACTGCAACGCCATGGTCTCCATGAACTGATTTTGTTTGTGCAGTGGGCAGGAAGAACCCGTGGGGCGGTTACACATCATGAAAGAGAAGCTCTTCCTGTAAGGTACATCAACTGTGGTTAAGAATCTTACATACTTATCATCTTTTGTTTTTCTTTTTCTTTTCTTTTTTCTTTTTTTCTTTTTTTTTTGAGATGGCGTCTCACTCTGTTGCCCAGGCTGGAGTGCAATGGCACGATCTTGGCTCACCACAACCTGCTGGGTTCAAGTGATCCTCTTGCCTCAGCCTCCTGAGTAGCTGGAATTACAGGTATGCACCACTCTTTTAGCAATTTTATTTATTTATTTATTGTATTATTTTTTTAAAATATTTTTAACTTTTATTTTAGATTCAGGGGGTATATTGCAGACTTGCTATATGGGTATATTGCATGATGCTGAGGTTTGGGGTATGAATGATTCCATTAGCCAGATAGTAAGCATCATACTCAAGCACTTTAAAAATATGCAAATGGTGTGGTATGGTGGCACATGCCTGTAGTCCCAGCTACTCGGGAGAATGGGGCCAGAGGATCGCTTCAGCCTAGGTGTTTGATACTAGCTTAGACAACATTGTGAAACTGTCTCAAAAAATAATAAATAACAAAACAAAATAAAATATATAATGCATTATCATTTAATACAGTCATTATTCTGTGCAATAAATCACTAAAGCTTATTTTTCCTGTCTAACTGAAACTTTGTACGCTTTGATGAACTTCTCGCCTTTCCCCATCCACCTCACTTCCCTGGATTGTATTAAATTAAATTGTATTACATTGAATTTACCAGAATTAATCACTACATTGGTAGAAACTCCAGTGGATATTCCTAAAATTGTGGAGACGTAGATAGATTTAAAAGCAAAAGAAATGCTGCAATTTCTTCAGAATTCATAAGAGAACTTCTATTGGAGAAATGTAAAATTTGAGCTGGCTAAGCCTTGAGACCTCCCAAGACTAAGTTATAGGAGTTTAGCCTTCTAAACTACCTCAGGGTACAGCCTGGTCTTAACTTTTAATTTTTTTTTTCTTTTTTTTTGAGACAGAGTCTTGCTCTGTCGCCCAGGCTGGAGTACAGTGGCCGGATCTCAGCTCACTGCAAGCTCCGCCTCCCGGGTTTACACCATTCTCCTGCCTCAGCCTCCCGAGTAGCTGGGACTACAGGCGCCCGCCACCACGCCTGGCTAGTTTTTTTTGTGTTTTTTAGTAGAGATGGGGTTTCACCATGTTAGCCAGGATGGTCTCGATCTCCTGACCTCGTGATCCGCCCATCTCAGCCTCCCAAAGTGCCGGGATTACAGGCTTGAGCCACCGCGCCTGGCCAACTTTTAATTTTTAATTTATTTTTATTTTATTTTTTTCGAGACAGAGTCTTGCTCTGTCGCCTAGGTTAGAGAGCAGTGGTGCACAATCTTGGCTCACTGTAACCTCCACCTCCCAGGTTCAAGCAATTCTCTTGCCTCAGCCTCCTGAGTAGCTGGGATTACAAGCATGTGCCACCACACCTGGCTAATTTTTGTATTTTTAGTAGAGACGGGGTTTCACCATGTTGGCCAGGCTGGTCTTGAACTCCTGACCTCAGGTGATCTGCTGACCTCAGCCTCTCAAAGTGCTGGGATTACAGGCGTGAGCCACTGTGCCCAGCCTATTTTTCATTTTTATGGGTACCTAGTAGATTTATATATTAATGAGGTACATAAGATATTTTGATAGAGACATACAATGCATTATAATCATGTCAGGGTAAATGGGGTATCTATTAGCTCAAGCATTGATGCTTTCTTTGTGTTACAAACAACCCAGTTATACTCTTTTAGTTATTTTAAAATGTATAATAAATTTACTGTAGTCACTCCGTTATCCTATCAAATATTAGATCTTACTCATTCTATCTACCTATATTTTTGTACCCATTAACCATCCCTCATTTTCCACACCCCCAATTACCCTTCCCATACTCTGGTAACCATCATTCTACTCTATCTCCATGGAATTATTGTTTTGAGTTTTAGATCCCACAAATAAATGAGTACATGTGAAGCTTGTCTTTCTGTGCCTGGCTTATTTCACATAACATAGTATCCACCAGTTTCATCCATGTTGTTGCAAATGACTCATTCTTTTTAATGGCTGAATAGTACTTCATTGCGTATATGTACCATATTTTCTGTATCCATTCATCTGTTGGTGGACATTTAGATTGCTTCCAAATCCTGGCTGTTGTGAACAGAGCTACAACAAACATGGGAGTGCAGATATCCCTTTGACATACTGATTTCCTTTCTTCTGGGCATATACCTAGCAGTGGGATTGCTGGATCATATGGTAGTTTAGCTTTTTTGAAGAAACTATTATGCATAGTGGTTGTGCTCATTTATATTCCCACCAACAGTGTGTGAGGATTTCCTTTTCTCCACATCCTTGCCAGTGTTTGTTATTGTCTATTTTTGGATGTAAGCCATTTTAACCGGGGTGAGATGGTATCTCCTTGCAGTTTTGATTTGCATTTCTCTGATGATCAGTGATGTTGTGCACCTTTTGATATGTATGCTTGTCATTTTATATCTTCTTTTGAGAAATGTCTATTCGAATCTTTTGCCCATTTTAAAATTGGATTATTATAATTTTTTCTGTCAAGTTATTTAAGCTCCTTGTATATTCTGGTTATTAATCTCTTGTCAGATGGGTAGTTTGCAAATATTTTCTCCCATTCTGTGGGCTGTCTCTTCACTTTGTTGTTTCTTTTGCCATGAAGAAGCTTTTTAAACTTGATGTGATTCCATTGGTCCATTTTTACTTTGGTTGCCTGTGCTTGTGGGGTATTACTCAAGAAATAATTGCCCAGTCCAATGTCCTGGAGAATTCCCCCATGTCTTCTTTTAGTAGTTTCATAGTTTGAGATCTTAGATTTAAGTCTTTTTTTTTTTTTTTTTTTTTTGAGACGGAATCTCATTCTGTTGCCCAGGCTGGAGTGTGATGGCATGATCTCAGCTCACTGCCACCTCTGCCTCCCAGATTCAAGCAATTCTTCTGCCTCAGCTTCCCAAGTAGCTGGGATTATGGGATTATGGGGTGCCCCACCATGCTCAGCTAATTTTAGTATTTTTAGTAGGGATGGGGTTTCACCATGGTGGCCAGGCTGCTCTTGAACTCCTGACCTCGAGTGATCCACCTGCCTCAGCCTCCCAAAGTGAGATCTAAGTCTTTAATCCATTTTGATTTTTTTATATGGTCAGAGATAGGGCTCTAGCTTTATTCTTCTGCATATGGATATCCAGTTGTCCCAGTTCCATTTATTAAAGAGACTGTCCTTTCCTCAGTGTATGTGTTTGACAGTTTTGTAGAAAATGAATTCATTATAGATGTATTGATTTATGTCTATGTTCTCTATTCCATCCCATTGGTGTATGTGTCTGTTTTTATGCCAATGCCATGCTGTTTTGATTACTATAGCTCTGTAGTATAGTTTGAAGTCAGCTAATGTGGTTCCTCAAGTTTCATTCTTTTTGCTTAGGATAGTTTTGGCTATTCTTGGTCTTTTATGGTTCCACATAAATTTTTGGTATTTTTTTTTTTCTATGTCTGTGAAGAATGTCATTGGTGTTTGTTAGGGATTGCATTGGATCATCAGATTTCTTTGGGTAGTATGGGCATTTTAACAATATTGATTCCTTCATGAACATGGAATATCTTGCCATTTGTGTGAGTGTATGTGTGTGTGGGGTCTTCAACTTTTTTCATTAATGTTTTACAGTTTTAATTATAGAGATCTTTAATTACTTTGGTTCATAAAATGTATATACATTTTGGTTAATAAACTTAACCAAAGAAATGAAAGATCTATATAATTAGTTAACTAATAATTAATTAAATAAATGGTTAATAAACTTAACCAAAGTAATAAAAGATTAAATAAGATCCTAGATATTAAAAGAGTAAATAGAATCCTAGGTAGCTATTGTAAATGGGATGACTTTTTAAATTTTCTTTTTCAGATTGTTTGCTGTTGGCACATAGAAATGCTAGAGATTTTTGTATGTTGATTTTGTATCTTGCAACTTTGCTGAATTTGTTTACCAGTTCTAATACTTTTTTGGTGGAGTCTTCAGCTTTTTCCAAATATAAGATCATATAATCTGCAGACAAAGATAATTTGACTTCTTCCTTTCTAACTTGGACTCCATTTACTTCCTTCTCTTGTCTGATTGCTCTGGGTAGGACTTCCAGTACTATGTTGAATAACAGTGGTGAAAGTGGGCATCCTTACC